TTGACTTCATTACGGAATAGACAGTTTTCGCAGTCCAACCAACCTGCACGACGGACCTCCGGTTATGCACTTCCGTTCGTACACAAATTATAATTAATAAGTAACAAAACGTCGTGGACCCAGCGAATTCTGCTGGGTTTGTCTGGCGTCTAACCATTGACTAATCTCTTATGAGTGGCTCTGAAGGTGCAGCCTGCACGGTTTAATGGGTCGCTGAGGCAGGCAAACTATTGCATTACGGTACGACGCAGCCACGTTGCTCCTTCATCATGCACCCACAAGCGCTACCGCGAGGCTCGAAATGCCTGCAAGTAGCATCCGCGAGTTTCTCGACAACAATATGAAGTTGACCATGTTCCTCCAGCCTAGCGTAATGCAAAACCCTTTGTCGCTTATGTCAAAAAGCTAATGCAACATAAACTTGCCCATCGGGGTGTTGTTTGCCCCTGACGTCTCTGTTGCTATCACAGATTACGACAAAGGTTGTTCACTCGGTTATCAGCCTACTTGCAACGGTTCCTGAGGTCTCTTTCCTGGAAGCCACCATATCATAGATTCAATTGCTATGACTCCTACGGGTAATCAATCCCAATAAGCTGTTGGGGTGAATGCTATTCATTCCAGAGTATTGTAGTAGTTGGGTAGCAGCTACTCGCAAAAGATTCGGCATGTTGCAGATGTCCCAGGGGTCATTGAGGAGCATGATGAGTAATATATTCTTTACACTTCGGGGTGCAAAGGCCGTCCTTGGAATACTGCGTACATGTTTGTTCCCTATGCCTCCTACCTGAAAGGATGGCATTTGAACTGGTCTTGCGGCGTGGCACGAAAATGTGCATGGATTAAAAAAGCCGACGCACCCTGAGAGGCTACCGGAGGTGGTGGATCGCTTTCCTTACATTGGTATTTGTGTCAACAATATCTGCTACGCTAGTCGCCATGATGAAACAAATACTATGGGACAAAGGTAGGATAAACAAGAACACGTCTTGAAGTCATGTGGAGTTAATAGTTGAGGTTTAGCTCGTGGGAATATTGATGTAAGTGTCAAGGGACATCCATGGGCTAAGGAACCACTGTTCATGGAGGCTCGTAGAGCCCATAACAGAGTTTTGCTACCGGCAGTAATAATGTTCCTATGTTGAACATACATGGGCTTGCGCTAGTGAAGCCAAAATGAATACCTGTTAATTTGCGAGTATGCCGCTCTTGTTATGGGACCTATACTACTTCTCTGTGTACTGGTCATGCGGGTCAGTGAGATAACGAATGGAATCTCCTTGAGTGCCAACAATAATGCCACACCTGTGGCATTTATATGGGCATAGTAAGCACCCGTCACGTTGGCATGAATATTCAAGTATACAGCATCATGACTCCCGCGTCTCTGACTCATCAGCTTGCCTGCCTGTCGCCCACTACTTGCAATATGCCGCTTCCATGTATCTTATGCATAAGTGCTCCAATAAATGACCATATGGCAAAATGTAAGTGTACGGGCACCCGATTCACGTTTATTTCGCAGTATCTTGACCACCGCGTCTCTTGCTCAACTTCTTTCCAGCATACCGCACGCTGTTATCCGTTTACGGCATCGCAGTGCCACCCATCTTTACAGGTGAGTGATGCTGCTCTAATAAATAACTTTTCAGGTTAACGATGCTCGCTTATTCTTCCGTGCTTTACAACCCACTCCGCATATAGCATAACCGGTAATCAGGTATCACAACCGGCTGCTAGGACGTTCGCATGCCCCTGCGTAGTCCGCACTGTTAATTGCCTCCGCTTTCCCATTACTTCTTGAACGACCCCACGGCCCTTTGCAGGGCCACCCTCTGTCCTATAGCTTTGTAGTGCATCCTTACAGGCCAGTAGTGCTTACATAGGCTTGCATGCGCAGCACCAACTGGCCGTTGGTTCAGTGGGTGAGTCCTTAATCGTCGACCACATTCTCTACCAGAGTATCACACTGCAGATTCTTAAGCATATCCCTTCTATTCCGTGACCGCAAATAACCAATAAGTTTTCAGGATTGTCGCTTTGGGGTTTACGAGCGCTTCGAACACTCCCCACTCAGAAGGCTGTATTTGCATATCGTTAAAATGTCTATTCTCACACCAAAGAGGAAGCAGTCCCAGTAATACATACGTCTCGCTTCGCTGTGGAGGTTTCTGGTCCCGCGCAAAGCATCCCATTTCATTCCATTCAGCATCGCCACTGCGAAATTAACAAGTGAGCGCTGATATCTTAGGTAATTTACCCGCTTTGTTGCTGAGGCTTCATTTTCAACTAATATAGGACACCACACGGTGTTCGTGCGTGTACTACTACGCCAAGCGATGCTATGTAGACCATTAGCTCCATTGGACAATGAGCGTGCATTATCCTAAAATATATTACGCATCAGATAATTCAGTGTACTTTCACTGGAACACAGTCAGCAGATTTCCGCTTATTAATATGGTTGGCGGTATCCAGTTTCAGATTTGTCTGTCACTGTGGCCAGCCACAGGATGCCTGCGTCTACAGAGAGACCATGGGTGGCCTAAACTGCACCACCCACAGCTCCAACCACACACACCACATCCCGCGTAAACCCGAAGGAATAAGACTGGGAGGCATGTGGATGACAGCCACGTTTCATCACCGGAGCCGGCCCACATTCCTTTGCTGGCAAACACAAGCACGCTGTATTTGGGAATCAAACGCACTAAAGGCGGTGGCTGGACCGTAGTCCGCTCCACACTGAGTGCATGGAACCAATCTTTGAGCCTAACACGGCCACAAGGACAGTGCACCCCGTCCCCTCCAGCAACGACCAACTGTCTCCTAGAGCCAGTATGGACGAGGTAGTGAATAATAGACAGGTAGGCATCTTGTCATCATGCACATCAAGCGCAGCCACACCGTGGATATCAAGCAACTGCCAATCACTTGAAACGACAAGATAAAATAAAATAAATCGGATAGTGCATACAGATAAGGTGGCATAACTCTTTACTAAATAAGCGTATAATGTAAATTGGCTATGAAGGAATTATCGAAATTAACTACAATTAGCTTCAGCAAGGTGTGCAAGTTTATAAAAGATAGTACAAGTAAGCCTTAGGACAAAATTGCTAACCCGAACTAAAGAGACTTAGCGTGCAAGCAGGCGGTTAGTAAATCGAATGCAGGGTACCTACAAACGCTGCGCGGGTTCTGCCTACGTTCTTTGCAGGACCCGTCGTCGCTTCGGTAGTGGTCCCGAGTGGTCTTGCTTATGGCTCACTAGGCCTGCCTGACTCAGACACTCTCGACCGCATGTGCTAAAGCACCCTAAGCTCGATATCGATGGAGTACAACCCATCGGCGCTTGCCAATTCCGCCCTTGCCGCTTTTTCTCTGCATGTATGAGGCCATTCTCTTGCACTTAGGCGACTGCCTTAGTGCACACGATCAACCTTCTTGGTTCCCATGACCTGCAATCAAGATTAGCACGTGAGCGGCTCACTTTGATCATGTCCTGTTAACTTAACTTCGGTTTCCACGCATGACGCCTCCCAACACTCAGCTGACCATATAACAGTTGTTTTGACAAATATATACATAATTCGTACCCATTTGGCGCTTATCACATTGGTGGTTTCTTGATCAGGAATGCTGCCTGTGAGGAAGACCTTGGTATACTCGTATCTCCCGATCTGCGTACCACCGAGGACACCCTGAGGAAGACAGCGGCTGCGAATAGGATGTTCTGTGCCATTAGCTCGTTCTCCCGAATGACTCCAGAGGTCTTCAGACTTCTTTTTTCTTCCCATGTGCGCCCTATCTTCGAGTAGGGTTTGCGTGCGGCCTACCCTTTTACAAAGACTGAACGTGTTATGATTGAAAGAGTTCAGCGACGAGGCTCGAAATCCATCTCAGCGCTCCATGACCTGCCTTACACGCAGGTCTTCGACAGATGAACATGTTTTTTCAGGACTACCGTCGACGTCGGGTGATTCTATTGCGAGACAGATGGGGGTAACTGCAAGAGTTCTTCCAGCTCTGCGCTGATAGCTCGACACGGGGTCACTCTTGGAAACTGTTTAAGCCGAGGAGGGTCCGGATTCATTCTGATTTCACCCTATCAACTCGAGTGGTAAAGGACTGGAACAGCTCGCCTGAACTGGTCGTTAGTGCACAATGTGAGGAAAGTTTTAAGTTTTAAGACTCCTATCTGCTGAGTATGCAAGGATCCTGCTATTTTCGATGCGACCGCATTGGTCCCTTGCGGAATATCGCCTCGCAGCATGTCGCACAATCCTTGCTCTGAACGGGATGTGATGGAGCTGACACAGGATGTCCTATCTGCTCTCTACCACTCCAATGAAACTCCAATACATATATATGCATGCTATCTGGGGTATCTGGTATTTTTATATCACATGCAGTGTCACATCAGTAAATATACTCTTAAATTTATGTATTATATATCAGACCATTCTTATTCATCATTCCATTTGAACTGCTTTTGCGCAATATGTCTACTGAATGGCCGGCACACGATTAATTCGAACTGCATTCGTCATACTTTAACTCAGTGCACAAATGTATAATTCGCAAGCTTTTACTTCACCCTTATAACTTTTTCATACGCTAATTTATGCCGATCATTATTTATTTCCACTTAATGTTCATACGGATTGTGTGAGCTCTTCCATTTAATTTGATATTTAGAACTGTTATAGGTTCTCGACATCCTTCAGCAGTCAAAATTCAACATTCAACCACTTCGGTTTCATATTTCTGCATAATTTCATTTATCCAATGTTTCTGTACCCCTTATTTGCCCGTTGCAGTAAATAACATTTGGAAATGTTATTTATTCTTATTAAGTTGCGTTATTTATTCTTAAGATCATAGGAATCCATCACCAACCAACAATTACAACACACCATGAGAGATAAGCCCGTAATATGCGTTTCCCATAACATTTCAGTACATTTTTATGCGTAAAATACCTAAAATTGGCTTACGATTATTATGGGTCTAAGATATTTCACCGTTTATCAATCTCAATGTATCAGTACTTCGCTGCCGAAGTACTTATCTAACGGACTCCAAATACGCCGAAAGTGAACTGTGTGGTTTGGTACAGAAAGCTGTAATCGGCTGCTAATGACCATCGAGTGATGAAAATAAGATCACAATACATGCTTCCAAATAAAGCTGCATATGTATATGGTTAAAGATATTCATTATGGTGCTCTTGCCACAGTTAATTTAATCCGTTTAGAACTATTTTCAGCTCTCAATTATAAGGTACTTTGTTTAAATTATTTTACCTAATATAACCTAATATATATAGCTATTAAGGTATTTATATAGTATTGGATAGCATTTAAATTTGCGTGGACTTTTTTACTTATATCCCACATACAACTTTAAATGTACTCAGCTTCCAACTCTGCTTGAGCATTATTCGTTGCAATAATATGTTTCCTTTGGTGCAAGATTAATTTCTTTTAGTTTATCAGTGCCTATTAAAAGTGCCATATATCCATAACTGTACGTTCAGCTGATTCGGAAGACTAAGCTTATACGTGTTTCTAGCCTCTCTGTTAGATACGTGTCACCCCAGCACCATTGTTGCTCCCTTTGGAATGTTTGGAAACAGGTTACCATGGTTTCGGTTAAACTTTGTCACAAACATTACATTATCATTTTAGTTTAAAACATATGCAGTGCAATCCCCATATTATTGAAACCCTTTTAATTAGTCCCTAAGTCTGGCGATTGTATTCTTGATTTCGACCGTTCAAAAGCACATTGACCTGTAACAAAACCCGCTATATAAAATAACGTTTTTCAATACACAGATAAACCGCTTTAACCTGTACTTACCCTATATATGCATATATATATATATATATATATATATATATATATATATATATATATATATATATATATAGGGAACTGGGGCCCTACCACATCGATGTTGCGCCGCTCAGTGAGACTCGGCTCGGTGAGCAAGGTACGTTGCATGAAGCAGGGGCTGGCTACACATTATACTGGGGGGGGGGGCGAAGCCACCTCAGCACCGCCTCAACTTTGGTTCGGACTTGCAATATCCGATCGCTTCCATGGCCAGCTCGTAAAGGGAACCAAATGTCATCTGCGCGTTACTGATGACTTTTCGCCCACGCCTAGGAATACATAAATTTGCCACATTTATAAGCACGTACGGTCGGACCCGGTGTTATCCTGATGACGCTCGTGCTCACTTCTATACTCAAGTATCCTCTGAGGTACGGTCTGTGCCGAGGAGCGGCCGACTATTTCAGCTGGGTGGTTTTAACGCCCGCGTTGGGCATGATGCATCGGTGTGGACAGACGTTATCGGTCCGCTAGGCATTGGTTCGACGACTGCGAACTGTGGCTGGCTGCGGTCACTGTGTGTCATTTACAGCCTGACGATCCAGAACCCCCGGTCTGCACCGAGTACGAGTGATATAGCAACTTGGACGCGCGCACGGAGTGGTCACGCTCACCTGCTCGACTATGTTACCGTACGTCAGCGTGATTTGCGTGGAGTGCGTATGACACTTGTACTGCTTGGAGCTGTGGGTTGCACTGATCACAAATCGGTGCGGACCAAACTGTACATATATTTTCTGAAATCTATGTATTGCACTCCCGCCGTGCATCGGCGTAAATTTAACATTCTCTCCCTCAGTACTGTGGCGAAACCTATTGAGCTGGAGAAGATTATGGGTGCACGCCCGTGTGATGAAGACTGCATAGCCACAGTAAGTGACCGGTGGCACCATATTCGTGACCAGGTGACAGCTGCTGTCGAGGAGATTATCGGGCGCGCAAACTGTATGCAGCCTGCTTGGTTTGATGAGAACAATGGGACGATAGGCGCATTGGTGTGTGAGAAGTATGTAACATTTGCTACACATGTAGCGGGCTCCAGTGATGTGCGGTAGAAGAGTCATTTTCTCAAACTTCAACGGCTACTGACCCGAGAGCTCCGTCACATTAAGAATTCATGGTGGACGAAGAAGGCGAAGCAGTTGGAATGCTACGTCGGATACCACCAACACAAGGAATTCTGGACACCTTGAAGCTGGTGTATGAACCGAGATTTGAGCCGCCTAGGAAGCTGGTTTATAGTAGCTGAGCCCCTTCCTGCACTCCGAATACAGACATAATGCAGACCTAGCGAATACACTTTGACTGTCTCTGGAACACACGTTCAGAGATCTAATTGCCTACTTTGAACGGCCTGAAGCAGCACGATGTGAAGGCGAGTCTGGAGGACATGCCGACACTGGATGAGACGCAGAGAGCACTTGCTCAGCTGTGCACCTGCAAGTGTGCCGGGGCCGAAGGGATCCCGCCTGAAGTAATCAAACACGGCGGACCCGCGTTGGTGACTGCGCTGCACCATTTGGCGCAACACGTATGGCTTGTAGAGGAGGTGCGTGCTGAGCTGAAGGGTGCCCTTGTGCTGCAGCCATGCAAGGGCAAATGGAGCAAGAAATGTTGCACGAATTATCGTAGCCTCAACTTGCTGAGCTTTGGGGGAAGCTGATTACCCGAAACCTCCTCAAATGCCTCGTCAGTCAAGTTGTGGAACCTAACTTGGCGGAAGAGCAGTGCGGATTCCGCTTCGATCGCAGCAGTGTAGATATTATGGCTGTGGCTCGTCAGTGGCAGAAGAAGTGCAGAGAACGATACCAGCCGTTGTACTCGCTTTTTGTTGAGTTCCTTAAGGTATCTGATACGGTGAAACGCGAGGCATTTTGGCTGGTGTTGGGTATAGTTTGGTTGCCCGCTTAAGTTTGTAAGTTTATTTGAATGTCTGCACAGTGGCATGCGGGTTAGGGTGCAGCAGTGGACAGACCCCGGATGATTTTCAGTTATCTGTTATGAAGCAAGGCTCTGTTATAGCTCCTAACCTGTGTAATATATATCTTTATGCAATGACGTCTCATGCTTTTGTCGCCGCTTGTGCTTACGGTATTCGTGTGGAACACCGTATTGCTGGTGTGTTACTGAAAATCTGTCGGTTCGGTGCGTGAACTCCAGGCTGTGAGACAACTATCCGTATGTTGCTGTTTACTGACCACTGTGCGTTGTTTGCACATAAGGCTTTTGAGCTGCTGCACATGGCTACTGCTCTAGATGCGACAGCGGCCAAATTCGGGCTTACCAGCAACGCAAATAAAACGGCCTGTCTTTTCCAGCCTTCACTGGAAGTGCTGCGGATCAGCACTGGTGCTGACAAGTTGGAATCCACCATCCGTTTCAGATACCTTGGGAGTGTGATATCGACTGAGCAGCTGCTACACAGTGAACTGCGTATCCGCGTCTCGAAAACAGCGGCGGCATTCAGAAAGCTAATGTACCGTGTGTGCAACAACCATCAGATTACCATTGGCACGAAGTTGAGTTTGTGTAAAGCCACGGTGCTGTCCGTTCTTCTACACCGCAGTGAACCGTGGACGATGTACCTGCAAGATGTGCGATATCTCGTGCGGTTCCATCAACAGGTTTTGCGTAGGATAATGCGCATCAGATGGCGCGACAGCATTGCGGACCTCGAAGTGTTCGGAGAAAGGGGGATGTATGCAGTGAACTGCATACTTTTGCTGCGACGCCTGAGGTGGCTCCGTCCTTTGAGCCACAAGGATTCGACGCGGATACCGAAACAACTATTATATGGTCAGTAGAGTATTGAGTGTTAGGTTCACAAATACAGCGTGCTTGTGCTGGAATGTGAAGAAGTGTAGTCGGGTGCCGTTGATGAAACGTGGCTCCCATCCATAAGCCTCCCGGCCTTATTTCTTCGGGTTCACACTGGATGTGGTGCGTGTGGTTAAAGCTGTGGGTGATGCAGTTTAGGCCACCCATGGTCCCTGTGTGGGCGCAGGCGTTCTGCGACTCTCCCTGTGGAGGCCACAAAGACAGGTAACTCCGCAACCGGATGCCGCCAACCATATTGGAGCACTGTATGCTGGTAGATGTAACTGTTGTGCCCTATTTCTTTTTTATGTTCTGTTGCACATGAGACGTGCTACGGCTACCGGCAACCTGTGGAAGCATTGATAGTTATGCTACTTTGCACGGAATCGGTAAGTACCCTTGTTATTGCTAATACATAGCACAGGTGCATGCGATGACCTGGGCTTATGCTAGCTCGTCGGTAGTTTATTGTCGTTTCTAAGTGCTAAGGTATATGTCTTGCAGGGTTACGTGCCCGGTTGACATCTATTAGTTTGGTAGTTGCCAACCTTGAGAGAAAACTTCTGAGTTCCCTGGATATATGCGTAATTGGGCTAGGATTCATTATGATAGGTAAACGATGCGCTTAATGGTATTAAAAAAAGGCATAAGAGTGCATGTTAAATGATTATTTTAAGATTCGCAGTAAAAAGAAAACGTTAATATTGATTGATTAACGATGGATATGTATAAAATAGAATGTGTAATTATTCATCGGAAGCCAGCTACTACGTGTCCTTATAATTGAAGATGTGGGCGCAAAGGAATTTATTTTTCTTATATATTTCTGTGTGGGTGCAGTCTAAGTGCCCTATAAGAAGTAATTGGCTGGCAAGCAGGGTACCTTAAAATTGGAAGCAAGCGTATAAGTGTGTTATGAATGAAATGTGTGGTGACCAATTGATACCACGTGGATATAGGGTGTAAGATAAGTACACGGGATTCCTTCAAAACCAAGAACATGGTGCAGTACTGACATTAAAAGCGGAAAAGCGTTTCTGTTGAGATATAGGTAGAACCACATTAAAGTGTCAAATCTTCAATGTCATACTTGCGATGGTACCATCGCAAACATCTCGGTATCGTTCGCATTTCAGTAGTTGTACCGCCAGAGCTGGAACGAAAGCCGGCACACCCGGGATTCGAACCCACGCCGCATGTCCAGTAATCCAGCAGGTTGCCACCACACTACAAGTAGGATGATTGTTGTCCTTATAAGTTAATTGTAAATCGTATACAGCTGTTCCACGGCTACACAACCACTTCTAGTTCGTTCGCCGTATGAGCATTCGCCGGTCCTGAGTTTGCTACAGATCAACTAATTGGAGACGTATGGCTGTGAATTCATGA